AAAGATTGAGGTGAAGTAGTTGTCATCACCGTGTTTCCTTTCTCCACTCGAGAGCTGTTGCTTCCCCTCGTGTATTTTTAGCAGAACAATTCCTTGAAATCGTGCAAGACCCCAATGTTTGGTGACGTTACAACGTTGCCACAGGACAGAGAAGATTGCAGATGGGTTTTCCCATGGGACAGCCCAGCTGTCGCTGTGATGGCGAGGAAGAATTTCGGGAAGAATCTTCTCCATCTCGGAGGAGCTGAGGATTCTGCAACCAGCGATCCAAACTGCTTTCTTGTTTGCTGCATAAAATTGCTAAGTTTTTTCGTTAATGCCTTGGTGGAGCGAGAGCTAGGTTGGGATCATCGTTGTGGAAATGTTTCGGTAAAAATGTAAGAAATTGAAGGTATTAGTATTTTAATATGAACCTTTTCAAAACTGCTATTGATTGCATTAGCTATACCAAGTGCCATCAAGAATTGCAAGTTCCACAAAATTTTTTACTATAGTAACATACCTGAGTGCAACATGATAGCTTTAAGAATACATTTATTATTGTATTTGACTGCAATTCAAATGAAATTCAACGAATTACGATTTTTATTAGCAAAAGGTACCTCCCTGTATGGCTCGAGCCCTGCCTCAAGGCCAAGCTGCCAGTTTAAATCATATAAGAGGATTAGAAATTATTCCTCTCTGGCCTTTCCGCTGCTAAGGTCAAAGAGGAAAACAGCCTGGAGACAGAAAAAGGGGAGCGGAACATGCATCGTTGCCCACTTTCCTTCGTTTATCTCTTTTGTCCCATTCTTCACTTCATGCAGTTCGTTATGTACTGTTTCTCGGTCTCCCGTTGTATAGCTACGAAGTCGCCGACCAGCCTTCGGAAATATCAGCATCTCGTAAGTCGTGACATTCCAATTATTTTATTTCACTCATTTTTCGCTTTTGATATTTAAATTTTTGCAGATGGCGGTAATTTGCTTATCTAAATATTCATTTTACACGTTTAATAACGTTAGATCTTGCACAAACAAATACTTAGGGTTCATGTATCATCTCTCCAAAGGACAGATTCAACATGGCTCCTTCTTAGGGAAACCAAAGTCCAGACCGGCCGGTTCCATCCTTTCTCTAGAGGGGGAAGATTTACTTATTGAGAGGGAAAGCTGGAGCAGAAGTTCTGACTCTACATGGAACTGGGGAGAATCCGAATCACGGGCTTGAATGAGCGTTGTGTAGATGTGGCCTTTCTCAAGACCCTCAAAGGTTAAGATCACCCTAAGGTTAGGTGAGAATTTTTGCTTTGTTGCAGCCTATATTAGTCAGTTTTTGTAGTGTGCAAAGCACTATAGGAGCCTCTATCCCTACTCGTTAGTTAAAAAAATAACAATGTAACTGCAAAAATTACGTGAAATAGCCATTCAGCCTGGGATACTTGCATTCCATGTTGTACGATCTTCAGCTTTGGCGCGATGTTATGTAGAGCAGTAGTGTTACCGGAACCTCTGGACCAGATGGGTTGAGT